TAGGCGACAGGGGTTTTACAAGAGAAAGGAGTTTCCCACTGGGTAAATTTGGATTGAAAAAATCCTGGACCATCCCTCCATCCCAGTCTTTCATCCCTAAGGGAGATGGAGAATCTTCCAGGAATGAGGAAGGCCTGAGGGACTTCTTGGGAGGAGCAGAGGGTGCCTGTGTTTCCCCCCAAAGCCAGCTGTGGAGTGTTGCTGGTGATGCTGGCTGAGTTTTTATGAAAACACGCAAGATTTTGCAGGTGGAGCTGTTGGAGTGAGTCCAGAGGAGATCACGGAGATGCTGAGAGGGCTGGAGCAGCTCTGCTTGGAGACAGGCTGAGAGAGCTGGGCTTGTTCAGCCTGGAAAAGAGAAGCTGCGTGGAGATCTCATAGCAGCCTTCCAGTATCTGAAGGGGGCCTACAAGGATGCCAGAGAGAGACTCTTCATCAGGAACTGTAGTGACAGGACAAGGGGTGACAGGTTCAAACTGAAACAGGGGAGATTTAGGTTAGATATAAGGAAGAAATTCTTTACTGTGAGAGACATGGGGCCCTGGCACAGGCTGCCCAAGGAAGCTGTGGTTGCCCCATCCCTGGCAGTGTTCAAGGCCAGCTTGGACAGAGCTTGGAGCAACCTGCTCTAGTGGAAGGTGTCCCTGCCTGTGCCAGGGGGTTGGAACTGGATGAGCTTTAAAGTTCCTTCCAACCCAAACCAGGCTGAAATTCTGTGACTTTACAGGTGGCTGGGGCTGGGAAGGCTCTGGGAGCAAGCAGTGGAAGGACTGACAGCTGGTTGTGAACTGGAGCCAGCCATCCCACTCCCCGGAAGCCATTAGGAAAATTCTCTTCCCTAAGTATTGTATCAACTAGTCTTTATACATACATTCAGATATAGTTTATACCTATATTCAGATTATACACTGCGATGTAACAAGGTAATGGAATTTTACTGGAGACTCTGGTATTGTTCATGCTTAAGTAAAACAAACGAAAGGGCAGCCCGGCCCTGGAAATAAGAACTTTGCTTCATGGAAGCCGTCCATGAAAGATAAAGGATACTCCAGGTCAACCAGTAAAACGCTAGCACTCCCAACCCCTCTGACACAGCTTTGAAACCCTCCCAGCGTCATCTGGCATCACAGTAACCCCAGCAAAACTCCAGGGACATCTGGGTCAATAAACAAGCAGCAAGATTGCTGGAAAAATATCACTTCTTTGCACAGTTGTACTATGATTAGTATCAGTAATGTGAGTGCTTGTATTTAGCCAAGTTGTCTTGTACCTGAAGGTTTGATGGGTACAGGAAACTTGTGCAAAAACACCTTCGAGGTGCTTGGCTGGGACACCTCCTACAGGAATAAATATTTATCCTTAGAGTTCTCTACTCTGCATCCCAGGCTTAGTCCTTGGTTGGCACAGACCAGCCTTGCCAGCCTCTCCTGCAGAAAAGCAGCGGTGCTGATTCCGGGCGCTGGCGTGCGGAGCTGGTGGCAGTGCTGGCCACGGGTGCGTAAGGATGTCTTTATGAGCCTGCAGTCTGTGCACAGTGGCTGCTTTGTGCGAGGGGCCGGCCAGCCACTCACCTCAGAAGGCCTCTGTGTGTGAAGGGAAGGATGTCCTGTGGGCAGTGTGTTCTTTGCTTGCTGTCCCCAAAGGCCCTCGTCACCTTTTCAACCTCCAGCTGCTGGAGGCTCTCCCTGTGCAGGAGTCTGGCCATGTTGGTATGGCAGGGGGGGGCCCCCACGGAGCGTGGGGGGCTGTACCTCTTGTGTCCTCACTGCCCACCCCCCCCGACTCAGGAGCAGGGGAGCAGCTAGAGTGGTCATCAAGCTGCAGAGCTGCCCATACAATTGGCTCCTATTGGAGCTGTTGCAGAGGGAATCCTCTTAGCCACAAGGAAGCATGGCCAGAAGGAAGCATGTCTCAAAGGAAGCGTGGCCCTCAGTCACGGTCTCCTTGTTGCCTGGAGCCAGGGAGTCCCACTGTGCTTTACTGGTACCTGCCAAAGCGGCTGGGGA